AAATTTAAAAACTGTACTTTTGAGTTAAAATATATATTTATAATTTTAATAAATGACAAATTAAAAAGGCATGAACATTTTTTGTATCGAAAAAATATCAAACCGTGACACCAAAGTATCGAACCGAACCGTGAATTTTGTGTATCGTTGCACCCCTAGAGCTTAAACACTTTGGCGTGAGAAAAAGCTAGATATTTCAGAAATAAAGATGAAATTATGAAAACTTTTTCATAATGAAGCCTTAGAATTTCTACATTAGCTGCAACAGTTTGGTCTTTATGCTGAAACCGACAACATTTCGCCATCTTTAACCATGGCATTTAATTTCTCTTTGATATTTGGGCTGATTGGGACCTCATGAATGTAAAAACAAATAGTTTTTTTTACAAGATTTTTGTTTCTGAGAAAAATGAGATCCATAAATGAGGACATTCGTTTTAATTTTTGATCGAGCAGTGGCAATATCATGTGCTTGTACATGAATATCAGGCCCTTGTAGAGCAAAATTTAGTATTTTGGTCTAGGCAACCCAAAATGTCCTAGGAGGTTAAAGTCAAAATACGAACGAGATCAGATCTCATAAATAACATCAGCATGTTTGTTTTTGTTTTTTGTTAATAACTTAAAATGTTTTACATCATTGGGATTGTGAGATTTTTTTCTTTTAATCAATCTTATCTGTAAAAGGACAGATAAATCATTTCAGCTGTGACTCATGCAAAGGTACTCTCACAGAAACCAAGAATAGCTACAAATGAGCCTAACGGGTCCCCTTGATGGGGTTATACACAGAAGCATTCGCAGTAGAGCATTATGGGAATGGGTGAAATACTCACTGTGGAAAAATAACAATCTGTATGAAGGATATGAAGCAGAATACCAGCAGAGTACAGGCAACATAGCCTCCAAAACGATCGTCCACCTTCTTGGAATACTGCACAAAAAAAAGAAAAAATCAGAAATAACAGGAGTAGACTTTTCCACACATGGCTGATATTTAAGATAAAGAGTTTAGCAATAATGAGGCATCACAGTTTTAACCTTTTTCTCCAGACTGGAAGTCTGGAAGGTGAGTAGAAACTTCTTAACGTGGTCTTTTCTTAGCTGGTCGATGCTGCGAGCGTCAATGGCCCGTCCCAGAAACTCATCCACCTCATCCTCTGGGTTCATGGCTTCCTGAACGCCACGGCTGCAAAAAGAAGAGGCACAGACTGAGCAGGCGATAACAGGGGTAACCCAATCAGGCAAAGTGGTGCGTCAGAGTCCGTGCTTACTTGTCTTTACTGGAGGTTTCATCAATCCCCTGGAGAAGAAAGAGAGCAGACAAAATTATGGTTCTGGCAGAAAAGCTGCAGCGCCGCTCTGTCGCTGTGAAGCAGCGCGTCGATGTCGAGTCTCACCATTTGTCTGAAGACTTTGGAGTCTTTGGTCCTGGTGAAGGTTCTGTCGGGAACCCAGCGTGGCATCAGCCCCTCGTTAGAGTTGGCTCTTGCCCGCTGCATCTTCGCCATCATCGCCTTCTCCTCCTTCTGCTCGGAGAGAACAACACGAAGGCTTGACCAACTGTTCTCGTGCAACACAACATGGAGAACGACAAAATGTGTGACTGAGGGTTTGTTTAAATTCTGGCTTTCAATTTTCCCACGAGGCAGCTCGGGATCTTCAAGAGGACTTCATTCACAAATTATGCTTTTTCAGCTCTGTTTCCTTCAATAACTATTACATCTTCACTATCTGTTATATCGCCAATGTGCTTCAAAACCTTTGTATTTTAAAGTAGTTCAGAAATATAAAATCATTTGAAATGAATCATTTTATTAAGCACTTCATCTTTTATTTTGCCAGCACAACTGGGAAAAAATAATTAACACCCTACTGTTAAGATAAGTGTAACCTGCTCTTACACAAAACTCTTATCTGATGATTTATGTTATAATAATAAATGCTTTATAACAGGTATGATGACTCGGTGATTAGCCGTGTCGCCTCACAGTGAGAAGGTTCTGGGTTTCAAACCATCGTTTGCATGTTCTCTCTCCTGGTACTCTGTCTTCCTCTCACGGTCTGAAGACACCATAGGAGCCTAAATGCATTTTTTTATTATTTTATAATTAATGGAATTGTGTTTATTTCATATTCAGTGTTTCCAATGTAATATGTTAATACTTTTTAAATTGGCAAGACTTCATTGTTTTAAGCAAAAGTGAATATTCATGTTCAAAATAGGATTTACAGAGATGCAGGTTAGCTTCACTGGCAAATCTAAATTGATTGTAGGTGTGAATGCAAGCGTAACTGGTAGACTGTCTCTGTTTTCGCCCTGCGACAGACTGGTGGGTGTATCCTGCCTCTTGCCATAAGACCGCTGGCACAGCCTCCAGTCCACCATGATCTTAGGTTGGATAAATGGAAGAAAGTGGACGGATGTGTTCCTGTGCTCATGAATACAATGTGGAAAGAGGAGAAGCTGAAAGTAGGTGTTTGGTGAAGGGACGTGTTTGTTTGCGCCTTTTGATTTTGAGACTATAGATATCAGGGGAAATCCAAACTGTGGCCATATTTAATTGTGTTCTTTTTTTGTATAATGTTTCATCTTATCAAGCTATTTTGTCCTTTCTTATTGTATTTTACTCAATTTGAGCTGTTTTACAGGTTATGTAATGTTTTAGCCAGAATTCCCCACTATATTTTATCCTATGTCATCTTACATGTTCCTCTTGGATTAGCGGGAGGTTGCTGTTTTTACAGCTGCTGTATTTCCTGGATTATATTTCATATTTCAGCAACACCTGAAGCAACACACTCCCACCAACTCTTCTTTTGGCTTTAGAAGACAGGCCTGTTTTCTTTGGACTGATCGCCTGCTAAAGCAACAAAACTCCCAGTTTGTCAGTGGAATGGTATTCACACTGTATCTATTAAATCTATCTGGTCAAATTATGCCCTTAACATTCACAAATTTCATCAGACTTTCTGAAAACCTTGCCATTTAGACAAGCAGATGATTTTTTTACTCTTGAAGTTTAATTTCATGGAATTAGTCAACAAACTCAGAGCCAATATCGAACGTTGGAGAGTGCTGCCTTTAACTATGACTGTCAGGGTGAACCCTATTAAAATGGTGAGTTTACTGACTTTACTACTTTACCTACTTGTGGCTACAAGTCACACTGAAAGTCTAAGGCCCATCTACACAAGTCCAGTAGGGTGGGAGGCCTTGGGCTTCTTCTTCCTGAGACTCTACTACTGGGCAGCCAATTCAAGAGCCTTTGTTTATTGGAAGTGGATAGACCAATCCAGTGATGCAAGCAATGAAGATATCCCCCTGTGGGTACACCTTGAGACCTCAGTTGTTAAAAATGCATCCTCTTACTCTGTTATTCTCCAGCGCTGCAATCACAGACAGGCTCCTAGTGTCTCCTTACATGTCCCACTATGGCATAACCATTCTTTTATGCCTGCTCAGCTGGATGAGGTGTTAGATGCAGGTAGATGCAGACTGTGACTCTGGCAGATGTGTTACGGACGAGCATCATTTCCTTTATACCAAATACGGTCTTCCAAATGAGCATGTATTACACATTACACATTACTCATTACTTATATTTCTCATTTTCTTACTCATTACTTTACTTTCTTGTTACTCTGTGAAATCCCTGTCATGTTGACACATATACAGTACGACTCTTCTTTTAGTATTTATTTTTTGGCCCTACGCGACTGGCATGTTCTCCAGATGGACTGGACCATAGCTTGGTGATTTTTTGATGCTCCATAGAAACCTTTAAGTCTAAATCTCCATATACCTTTGCATATTAAATTAAGGTGGTGTTATTTGTTAAACAGATGGAAGAAATGCATAAGTATAAAACAGATATTCAGAGTAGATCTAACAAGAGATGGGGGCCTTGTCTTCAGCGATACCAAATGAACTGTCACAAGCAGTGACCTCTACTTTTTCCTCAAACCAATAGGATGTTGAATTTTGTTTATTTATTTTATTTATGTTCTTGATTCAGTTTTCTTAATGGCAATACTGTCATGGCAGTCATCTGATCTCTATGTATATTTTTAGTGTGTGGCGACCTTTTTGTTGGTCCCTTTCTGGTGGGGTTTTTTTTCAGGTTCGGCTAGAAAACTCTGACCAATGTCTCAATTTGGTGAAGATTTCCCCGCCTACACCTCTTATATTTGTGTGTATGTTTGTGTACTGACCCGTTTTTGGCTGCAGCCAAGGACCAGGAATGTCTCAATGCTGTTCTCCTTCAGATACGCATTCCTCTCACCTCCAAAACCTGGCTCCACCTCATAGTCCCCATTCAGATACTGCAACGTGGCCTTTGTGATGTGGATCCGCCTGGCAGGGACGAAAAGACCAGGAAGTGGCTTTATGTGGGGTGTTTATTTTTTTTTGTTTTTCACATTAAAGGCACACACAGGGGGACAGCAGGCATATATTAATAGCTCCAGAACTGCTGCTGAACATAAGTCAGGAACATGTTAGAAATGAATGAAACAATTTCTTTTAATTTGTTGTAAAACAACGTTCAAGAGCGCAGAAAGCTTTTCAAGTCAAGTCTCAAAATGGCCTTATCACTTGTACTTCTTGAAGTTCAAATATGATATTTTCATAACAGGAGAGCTTTTAACAACCTCCGACATCAGTACGAACTGTACCACCACGGAAAAATATGAATTCCAGACATCAACAAATTATTTTTGAAGCAGTAGCAATTTAAAAACATCAAAACAAAACAAAGGGTAAAAAAATGATCGCAGTAAGTGGCCGTGCATTTGGAGTTCTCAAAACACTGTGATAGTTTTTACAAACTGTAAACGCTTCTCTCGTTCTCACCCTGCTTTGCCTCCCGCCTCCATGTGATTGGCCAGCGTGACATCATTGGACCACACATCAAACTGCCACTTCCTGAGTCCCAGCACGCCGCAGTGCACACGGCCACTGTGAATGCCGACGCGCATGTTAACGTTGACCCCTGTCACCTCACGCACCAGCCTGGAAAACAGAAACACACACACACAGACACACACGAGTGTCTCATCAGCAGTGGGAGGAATATGCAAAACACTGTAAACAACGCAGAAACAAACACCACATACAGGTGCATGTATACACTGTTTTTACTCACGAGATGGCCTCTATCATGTCAACACCCATCTCCACGCAGCAGTGGGCGTGGTCAGCCCGGGGTTCAGGCAGCCCGGACACGCAGTAGTAACAATCACCCAGAATTTTAATACGGAGACAATGATTCTCCTGAGGAAGAAAAGACAACAGGACAAGATAAAAATATAAATAAAAACACATATCCATACAGGAAGCACTTCATACTTCTCACCTGCTTTTAAACTTAAAACAAAGAAACACAAGAAACAGCAAAGGATAAAAACAAAATCCACCATCAACACTCTAAAACAACCCCTTAAACTGCCAAACTATCCCTTTTAGAAACAGACACAAGTAATGGAAGACTGCTTACCGACGCCAGTTTGTCAAAACGGGCAAAGAGCTCGTTTAGTGTCATGACCAGCTCCTGAGCCGTGCACTGAGACGCCAGGCTGGTGAAACCCTCGATGTCTGCAAACAGAATACTGAGGACGAGATGAAGAGGAGCAAAAACAAAACACAGTTAATCCTCGATCATGAGAGATAAAAACCTACGAAGCTGATTCAGTTTGATTTAGCTACACCTCAGCGATATACTATTGCATTATGTTACTATCAGGGCAGATGACCTTGAGAGAGGAAGGGTGTTTGACCTTAAAGCATCTGTGTGTGTGTGCGTGCGCGCGCGTGTGTGTGAGGGACCGAGTGCACCGTGTTTGCTCAGTGCTGTAATTGAATGTGTGCTGAAGCTTTCCATCTTTGGGGATTATCTTATCTTGGCTGCTGGTGATTAAGTATTCCCTCACTAGTGTTAATTAGCCTCCACTCTGCCAAACCACTCTACCGTCTTCTGACTCTGTGAGCGCGCTCAAACATGTGTGTTTTTGTGTTTATGTGTGCACCAACGTGAGTTAGCCATTCTTAGGATGAATTTATGGTATGATTTTGTTTATTTTCTCTTCATTTTATGGGATTAACAAAATCCTAACAGGCTTTTTAATGCTTTACAATGTCACATGTTTTTCAGTGTATCATGATATGACCTCTCTTACAACAATTATAGAAAAGAAAGACGATTTAGTAGCTAAAATCTGAATTCATGGGTTAAATGTTACGTTAGGTGTTGAGGCCACACGCCCGGCTGACCTGACATTGTCGTGTTTCTGGATATAGATCTTATGAAACATCATGTCTTCCTTCTTGGCATTGATGTCAGCCTTCATCTCCATGGCAACATGCCTCGGCAACACTGAAAGCAACAGACGTTCCTGGAAATCACAAAAAATAAACAAGGAAATGCAGATCTTGTCAGTCATAATTTTGTGGTTACATTTCTATATATGTGTATGTGCCTGTGTTCTTATTATCCCATTATTTACAGAGACATTTAGAACTCATATCTTAGAGTGAGTAGCTCTGTGTGTTTGTGCTGTGGTAGAAGTCCAGATTTAGGCAGACAGGACGTGTTTTTTCTGATTTGTCTAACAAGTGTTGTCAGTGCATCCAGAGCCTGATATGCTGCGCTTTTCTGCGCCCCAGATGTTATCCTTAAACTATCAAAAATAAAAGGGTGCCCTTTCCTTTCATTATCATGAACATGTCGGCATTTTTCTTTCCGTCGTTCACGGAGGAACATCCTGTCAGCAGCTGAAAATACTTATCCTATCCATTTGAGAGACAAAAATATGCCTTTTAGTCCTCTGGATTCAGTAGGATGAGCTAAAAACTACATTTGTTTGAGGAAGTTACTTATTTCATTAATTCAGTTTGTCTGTTGGCAGGAGAACACAAAGATTAATGGACAGATTTGCATTGAGTTTTGCAAGGGAAATTTTTCCCAAGTTAGAAGCCTTAGACAGATATACATATATTTCTTTATATAGTTTTATATAAAGATGTCTTTTGTAGGACCCAGGATTCTGTCGGAGCACCACACAGGAAATGGATGTCGGCACTGAGCGTGTATTTATTGATACCCTGTTTTCTGGGTTGGTCTATTGATGCTGATCTCATATGCTTGTTGCTTCATTTTATGGACACTGTGCTGTGAGATGGTGCTAATTCTTGGGTTTAGAATAAAACAGCCACTAGAATGTACCGCTGTCATGCCTTTATAGTCTATTGCTTGTTATGCCTCTCTTCAGCCCTCCTCCATTGTTGATAAAGCCTTGGCTGGCTTAAGAGGGCCTCAACTTCCTGCTACATCTCATCATACTCTTCGCTCAAATGTTATTCATGCTATGAGCGAATTTAAAGCCATTTATTAATTTAAACATAACAACTGTTTCAAACAACTTTTGTGTCAATCTCTAGTTTTTGTTGCTGCTTCATACTGAACCACATAGTTCACTTTAACTGACATACATCTTTACAAAAAGAAGAAATAAATGGACTGTGCAGGCCGTACGCTTTCAGAAAGAGTCAAAACATCACTGCTTTCAATAATGAAACTGTTTGAGTATGGTGGTGTTGGTGACGAGCCCTCCTCCACACCAAAAGAGCTCATCAACAGCCAAACCAGGAATCAGCAAAGGTTCACATGCAGGTATATGTACTCATAAATGTACTCGTGTACATCTGATGTTCTTTTTCCTGGAGGACGTGCTTGTGTAAGTGATATTGTTCCAAGTAAAATGAGGGTGTTATATAGAATGTAGATAAACTCCTGACAATAAAAACGAGTCAAAGGTCTTTCCAGCGTCTTGGAGAAAGCAACCACCATGAATTAGGAGTGTCGCTAAATGCTGCAACATCAAGATCAAAAAGTTATGTTCATTTCTAGTCATTAAACACTGACACTGCAGAGAGACTCTTTGTGTTCTGTTGCAAATAAGTGCTGGGAGATAGAATTGTGTGTGCAGGTTTACCTGTTGTTGATTCTCCCTCTGCAGATGAAGCCGGGCCTGAATGTATCCTCTGGTCTCCTGGAAGGCTTGTCTCTGGGAAACCTCGGCAGGGTAGTGGGTACAGATGCCAATGATGTTGGTGCACAGGAAGATCAGGACATTAGCACTCACCTGGAGAGAGTGAATGGGGGGGGAAAGAGATTATAAAGCATTAGAAAAGAAGGAAGAGGAATAATCAAACATGCACTAGCAACGCAGCTTTTACTGCTAGAAAACGGTCTGTATTAGGTACTTTAATCCCCGTAACAGTAGCGGCAGTGATGCAAACAGACTCAGAGATACAGGTGTTCAACTTCACTTCCTTCCATAAAAGGACACAAAACGATAACTGACGGCAGGGTTTGTGTTACACTCATTGTAAGGGTGAAACTACGACACAAGCGGTGTGAGTTTCATTCTGCTGTTTACCTTTTTTGTCATTCTGACATTTCAGTTCTCTGTTTGTCTCAAGAGACTCAAGACTGTTTGTGCATTAAGGCGCCTTTACACTGTGGGCCGTGTGTGAGAGGAACTTGGTAAAATATTCCATCGTCAGTCCAAAAATAAAAGTCCTAAATCACAGACGGCCGGTTTGAAGCTTTGCCGACCAAAATCGAGTCAAGACAGATGGTTTCCAGCAGGCTTCAGGAAGTAACAGAAACACTCACATCCTGTTAGAGCCAATGCTGATTTAATAAAATGCTGGCTGTTTTCTGTCAGCTATGGAGTCTGAAATAAACAGTAAAACAACAAATTAAAGTACTATAGAGGCAAATAATTCAAACAAAAAAAGCATGTTGTGTACTTTTGTCATGTTTGCTGCAGGACAGATAAAAACAGCAGGCCAAGTGCAACCACTTGTTGCACTTGGCAAAAACATTAACACATAGTTAAAAATCAAACGAAGCCAGAGCATCATGTTTCATTCTGGCTTCGCTTCACTAGCTACCTGTGCTTTTTAGAGTCATCTCTGACTTTACTTTACTTCACCCCTACACTCCTGTCCGAACTCTCAGGTCATGTGACCTAAGCAGAAGCTCAGGGGGGACAGAGCAGTCAATTGCTGCCCCGAGGTTATGGAATAAATTGCCTTTTTGCAGTTAGACGGTGACCAACCATGACCTAAAACTTGTCTTAAAACACAATTATACTTCCTTAGTATTGAGCTACTGCAATATAGAGATCTTACTTCTTTTTAGTGGATGGTGGTTGTTTTTAATCTGCTGCGGTGTGGCATGTGATCTGCATGTGACTGATTGTCAGGGCTACACATCCATACAGCTATTACTCTAAGATTCTTAGAAGTTCTTGTGCCCCTAAAGCCTCAGTAAAAACACCAACCTTCTTGTGATGGATGGTAAAACCCTCAATGTTTTTTGCAAGTAACAATAAACCGGTTGCCTCTGGGCGACCACTTTTTAGCTCAAATCAATTACACAGGTTTCCTGGTGGGACACAACCTGTCCCCTTGGTTGACCCCTTGGTTTGCCTGCACTAATTTTAGACAGACTGGTTGACTTTTTTTATTCCCAACATATGAATATAACAAAAATAACAAGATTGGCTAAGGGTTGAAATAATCAGTGTTTAGTTGATGACAATAGATTGCTTACACGATCACACAAAAACAATCTGAGTCCGTCTCTGTGCCTCATAGCTGGTGTATTCTGGTCCTATGTGAGAGCGAGATTTCAGAGAACGTCATTTTGCAGTTGAATCGTCAGTCTGCAGCAACTACATCACTGTTTGTGGAGGAAGTTCAGAACTTCTGTTTCAGATGTTTAAGGTTCTGATTCGACTCTGAATGTAAGTACTTAAATCGAATTTCTGTGTATGTAGACGTTAACCGATTTGCTATTTTCACCAATCTGTCAGTTATTTGCAATATTATCACAAACAGATTGCATGTAACTACCAACTGAACCTCGTTCAATCACAAAATAATAGCAGATTGACTCCATCGTATCTTAGTCTTGACACATCAAAGTCCCTCTGAAGACAGCAGCTGACTGCAAGTTGCTGTAGACGTGCTCTTTAAAGACTCTTTAAAGGTGACAAGGTCACATATTAATGGTTGAAATAATTTTGGTTGTGTTGTGGTCTCCAAGCACCGTTTTCATTAGTGCGACTGTAGCATAAATAGATCACAAATGCTCATAGCGCAGATCACAGATGGAATATAGTCCATAAAATCTGTAATCTGTAACATAAATGCTCTGAGCAAATGCCTGCTGATTAGAGGTCTAAATGAAATCTAAGTGGTACTCTTCAACCTGCCCAATGGAAGCACACGTCTGTTTTTTTAACATAACGTTTGATCGACAGTTTATTTGGTTGCGAAATGATTGTGATCAAACTGCTACACAGCAACCACTCTGCAGGTAAACAGACTAGTATTACTGGAATAAAGGCATCATTATGCTGTTCCTGTATGTCCACATTTAAATGATGTTTCTCATAATCGTGAACAGACTATTTGTATAAGCCTTTGGATAGTCAAAATCCAATCTCTGTACAGATGCCTGGAAAAGTCATCGTCTGCCACCATGTAACATTTATTAATAAACAGAATAAACGTTACATGGTGCAAATTCAGACCGAATATGAACTAGGACTTAAACAGATTAGAAGACTGCTTCTTCTGAATATTTATATTCATTTCATATATATTTATTTTTAAATAATTTCTCCAAAACTATTAACACACACACACACACAACCCCGTTCAGCTATCTTAGTGAGGACCTTCATTGACATAATGGTTTCCCTAGCCCCTTACCCTAACCATTAAAAATGAATGCCTAACCCTAACCCTTACCCTATACCTAACCATAACCTAGATGTAATCCTGACACTAAAACCACATTTTGAGCCTCTAAAAGGCCTTCAAACTTGTGAGGACCGGTGAGTGCGTCCTCACAGGACAGCTAGACAGGATTACACACACACACACTTCCTGACAGGAAATGGTCCTGATTGTGGGATTTGTTGTCCCCTCTACCCCTCACAGCCCACTGACCACTTATTAATATTTGCAGCTTGGCTGTGTGCTGCTATCTTATTTTGAAGTGTTTGTGGTTTAAAGCGCTGCTGCCATGGGATAACCCCCAGTATCCAAAAAAAATAATACAAATGTGCCCAAACGCATCATGGGGATTGCTGCTGACCCCACATAAGGCCACTTCCTTCAGAGATGTGCTCTTGTTTACAACTTAAACGTGACGCCTCTCACGGTAGAGGATACACTTAGACAGTAACAAAGGTTGTCTGTGCACCAGAAGGAAACCCAGAGATGATACATCCTGCATCAAATATCAACAGGAGCAAAGAAACAGATTTCAGGCCTGTAAAGTGGAAACTTCAATCCAAAATATTTTGTCTGTGTTACGGAGCGGTTTTTAACACGGAAATCTGCTTTCCAGTCCTTCTGTTTAGTGTCTTTCTGTCACCAAGTGTATCACACACTGACATCTTCTGGGTGGAAATGGAAATACACAGAGATACTTTGTGCTTCAGGTAATGCTTTAAACATACCTTAGAAACAAAAAAACAGACAAAACAAGACCATGAAAGAGCAAAGACAGCACTTTTCTTCAACTATGTAATAGTTATTTTACACTTACGTTGACCCTGTTCTTTATTTTATCTATGCAAACACATAAAAGATTCCTTATTAAAAGCTTGTTTAAAAACAAAACATAATAGAAGTCAGCAAACCTTTGTGCACTGTTAGGTATTTTTGGAAAACAGTTCAAGAATTTAGGCGCTCCTGAGTCCCGTGTTGTCATGGTCTCTGTTTTAATTGTTGGTTTAGTTGTTTCTTTGTGTTTTTATTTACTCCTGCCTTTTGAGTTGCTACCCCTCTGTCATTGACTTGAGTGTTTCAAGTCTCGGTGTTAGTCATTTTCCCTGCGAGAGGCTCGCGACCTGTTCGGGATTCACCCTGAACAGAGCCCTGAATTTGATAAGCAGAAGATGGATGGATGGATGGATATTTTTGTAAATGATGGAAACTGTAAAACCACAACAAGACATTTAGTGTTATAAAGTTAAGATAAGGGTTATAAGCCAGAAGCAGCCATTACTGAGGTTTGGAATGCTGACTTGGGGATCCAGAGACCTACCACCATGCTCTCTTAGACTAAAATTCATAAATACTATTGTGCTCAGTATAGTTGTTGATACAGTCAGCTAAAATATTTTATATGCTGCAAGACCATCAGGAAATGATTTTCTGTTAGTGACATACAGAAAACAGGTTTCTGGACAGTGGTCAAGCTGTCGCTAATAGATTGTTACAGCCTCCACGTCTCTAAAAACAAGACAGGCCCTGCAAAAACTGGAAAAAACATAACAAGATTTGGTTTAAAACCTATTTTTTCCAAACCCTGTGATGGACTAAAACAATTAATTATATTATGGTGAGAAAAATAAGAGCGAGAATTTGGATTTTATGTGATTTTATGTTCATATTATTGAAAGTAAATAGAGAGATTTTACATTACCTGACTTACAACAAGGCTAAGACTAGGTTAATGCTGTACAACGAGCACCTTAGGCCTGTCATAACACGTGGCTCGGTTTTGGAAATGCTGCTTCACAGCACGACGTGATTTAGAATTTGTTTGGTTACCGGACTCGGTAACCCAAAAGAGATTCTTAATCTCAAGACTTTCACTTGCTGGTTAAGTAAAGGTTAAAAGAGTCTGAAAACACATTTCTGCAAGAACTTGTTATCCTTTAATGTTAAGTAGTGCCTTTAGGGTGTCCGTTTAGCTCACTGAGTTGAGCAGGTGACCCATATGACGTAAGGTTTGAATCTGCCCCGAGGCCGTTTACTCTGTGCCTTCCCAGTTCTGCCTCCTCTCCACTGTCCTAACACAATAACGTCTAAAAGCCCCCCCCAAAAAAAGAACCTTTAAAGGTACAGCCAGATAGCTCAACCTTTGCAGCTTAATAGACTAGGGTCGTTCACATGTGGAAACGGTACTTTAAAGTTAATGCTGGGAATCTTCAATCTCGTTTTCCAAAATTATAACACATTTTTTAATCCCATTCTCAGACAGGATCGACTATTCCTCCTCATAAGTGGTTTTAATTTCTATCTTAATTTCTGAAGCGTCACTGACTTC